CGACGCTCTTCCGATCTCCCCAAAACCCCAAAACCCCAGGAATCAGATTGTTTTGATAATAGGAGAAGATAATTATAAATTATAAATTGATAAATATACATATATAAATTAATTGTATTGTTTAGTTAAATAAATTTGAAAATGAATTTTATACATTAACTTACCCTTACCCTAAACCCCTCTGATTTCAAGGTTTTCACCCTAACCTTAAAAAACCCAACTCTTTCAAATATCGGATTTTTTGATCATTTGGAAATTCCTGAACTTTTGGATGCATTTGAGTTGAAAGCTGTATTGTTAAGAGAGTTGAACATGATGAAGATAGATGAAAGAGTTCATTCATAAGTAGATCAACAATAAAATTGCTCTCTAAATTTTGATCACAATTGCAACGACTATTTTCCTCAAACTTCTATTTTGGCTTAAAAAGATGCTCAGTCACTTGTTCACACACAAACTGACTTTACTCTGCTGGAAATCTCCCATTTATTGATAGAGAGCGAGCAAGGATTAGTGATTACAGGCGTAGTGCCTTATGAAGTAAGTTGCTTCCACAAATATCAAAATAACACAATACTAACTAACATTATACACACTTAGTTTCACTTTAGTTGGGAAATCAAAATACTCAATTAACTTGCTATAGATGTCGCAACTTATGCAAAGTCTGAACAATGCGCTTTGCTGTGAGATTAGGAGGAAATTTGAAGATCCCTTTATTCTTATGACTCAAGAACAAAAAACTCAATTTATGGAAAGTCTCTTCTAAGAAATCGTCGACAGCTTTAATTATCAGGTAAGTTCTCAACATAGATAAAATTACATCATATAAGTATTTGCTGAATCACACATTTTCACACTATTTTCCAATCATGATGTTTAAGGCATGCTTAAATTAATCTATAGGAACTTAATATTGAATAACTAAGTGATCCTGTTTTGAGAGGTTAAACTTAGAAATAAAGTGGGGATGGTAATTAGAACGGAAATTTGTTGGAGATAATGCTCAGAGGATATTATTTCGAGTTATTTAAAAATACTGGTCAATGGGTAATTCCTCTTACTTTTTCATCTAAATAATAGTTGGCTTGTGAAGCAGATACCTACTTAATAGAATATTCTATTTAAGATAACAACAATACTAGTAATGAGCAGCTAAATCATACAAACTGCATTCAACTATCTATTGTAATCTTCTAAAATACCATTAAAAATAATTGTTATTGATATACTCCTATAGAATATTAAGGAATCTTAAATAGTAAGAACACCTAATGGAGACTCTGAACTAAGTTTTAAGCTTGAACTCAATTCCAAATATATCAAGCTAATTCATCCTAATGTAAAATAATTTGACGTTTTAATGTTACAAGTTATTTAACATGGAAATTAACAATGATAAATACTTCGTACTACCAAACTTTAATCCATGCATAATTGAAGGCTAAGATACATTTGATGAGATTCCCTCAATTCACCCAGATACCTCTAGAGTCAAAATTATGAATCTCTTTACATAGGAGATCGAGTTAAGAGATATGGGAGAAATAGTAATAAATAAACCTTTTGAGATTCCTCAATAAGGTATATCAGTTGCACTTCTCAGCTATAATATGATCAATGATGTGCTTCAAAAAGGAGGGCTTGAAACTAAAGTATAGCTACTTAGATATGAATTATCTGGCTAAAATGAGCAAGTGACAAAGAGTATTGCTTAGTTTAGCAACAAATTTGATCTAGATAATTTAACATCATAAGTTAAGATACACTAGCAAGAGAATCACTATCGAAATATTAATTCCATAAACTATTAAGATCTAGGCATTAATAAAAAGGATATCAGCACAAGTGAGGATTCTGATGACTCATACTATGAGACTACTAACAAACTACTTAAAGTTATTAAATCCCAAGATGCATAAAAAATCAATTAGCTTAATGATATGCTCAAGTTTATCTAGGACAATCAAGACTAATAAATGTTTATGATTAAAAATTTGCTTGATACTAAAGCTATGATGGCAAGGCTTAGAACAGATAGAGAACTGAGAAACCTCTAACTTAAACTAAATTAATTTATAACAAACATTCAGAGAGAGGCTAGATCTACTTAATCTCTTAACAATCTCCTGCATTCGAACAGCAAAAGTTAGCAGAAATGTCCTAATTCTATATAGAACTCTGTTAAAAAGACTATTATGAAACCGATTAACTATGATTTGTCAGAGACTATTAAAAAAGATAAGGACAAGATTGAAGCTGACTACTTTAAATCTGATCCACCTATGTAGATCATTAGGAAAAGAGAATAGCACATAAAAAGAACGCTTGAGTGGGCTAATAAAGAGCATAACATATCAATGAGTTAAAGTTAGATTATGGAAGATTAAAACATGGAAGACCTTAGTTGTATAAGCTAAGATAGGTTAGATGAAAATAAGAAGAAGAGAGTATCTTTGATAAACTCTTAAATGAGTTAGTCTTTTATATAACGAGGTGAGTTTCATAGAAAAAGTGAAGACTTTAGCTTTATGAGGAAAAAAGTGAGAGTAAATGTGATCGAGAGTGATATCGTAGAGTATGAACTAGACGAGGACGAAAAGAGAATGAAACAGTAAAATAGCAAGAAATATTTATGAGCAACAAAATAAATTGGAATGCCAATTATAAGCACTTAATGACAACAAAAGTTTTTCAATGCATAGGTTGATATAGTGAGTGAAACTAATAAAAATGCAGTAGATATTGCATTTAAATGCATTGGAACTATTATTAGTTACTCTAACTTGCAATATTATACCTATGTTGTTGTGATTTATATTATACTAATCAAAAGAAATTTATATATTTGCTGATTAAAATACTTGTATTCTTATATAATTTAATTATTGGCTTAATGGGGTTTTGGGGTTTTGGGGTTTTGGGGTTTTGGGG